TAGGAGCCTGAGGATTGAGGTCTCAATTTCAAAAACGAGTCAACTTTAATTCAATTTAAATTTGCACGTGTACTTACACTGACAGCGTCAGAAAGTGCTGACACGAGACAGGGGATGATCACAAAGCTCTGGCCTTCCTTGACACCGAGCGAACTAATGTGGCGAGCAAGTTCCTTTGAATCATTGGTCACCAGGGTTCGGGGTAGGATTTGGTCTTGGCGGGGAATAGATTGGTCAGTGCTGAGGACGGAACCGTTGATTGGAATGCGAGGTTCTGTCTCGCTTGTGGAATCGGGACGGCTAGACGCCTCCATGCCGTCTAGCGGAGGAGGGGGAGGGGGAACTGTCGGTGATTGCATGATTGCTCCTCCGGAGAAGCATTCTTCCACAACTTCGGAGAGGGTGGATTGTCGGTGGAGCTGAAGGAAAGTTGGATTTTAACGGTCTGAAGAGCTTTTGAACTGCGTCGAATTTTTAAAAAAAACAAGCCTAGCTTATCCGTCTCTGCGCAATCATTTGTGGCCTCCGTTTTCTAACGGCTAATTTGCTACACCGTCGCTTCTGAGCTGAGCCTTAGGCGATATCACGCCCTTCAAAAGGAGACACTGCTTTAAAATCCACATCCTTTGATGTCTATGCAGCAGGTTGATCCACCAAGTAAATGCATCTAGATTGAAGTTAACTAGCAGAAGTCAAAGTTGCTGCTTTATGAGCACGAGGTTGGAAGATTAAATTCTAGATTGAACTGGGCAGACCTTTAGGCTGGAAACTACTGAGGAAGGGTGCTACCTGTAAAACAGATGTAGGTCTCTCTTTCTCTTCATAGCACCAACCCGCTTAATTCAGTCACAAACACGTATGCAGCAAACTGCCAATAATGTTAAACTTACATTGACTGTTCGCAGGATCTGATTGCGTACATGGAATTTGGGTCCCTGAGCTGAGCTAACTAAGGTTGTCGCGTACTTGGCAGGACGACACTCTGAGTTCTGTTTGCCGAGTCCGTCAGGACTCCAGAACTCCACAGCCAAGGCTACTGAGGTGTCGGGGGAGGAGAGAATGCCTCCGCTTTTCGGTTCTGTTTCATTGCAGGGACTGCCATAAGGCGACCTGGCCGGTGCTCTCTGCTCCGTTTTCACCTCCTCGGTTGTCGTCGACGGAGCCGGTGCGTTTCTACCGCGTGTTTTCTCCGCCAACCGTGGGAGGATCTCCTGGCGCATTCGGGTAGAGGAAACAGTCCAGTCCGCATCCGCGCCTTGGCCACTTAGGAGATGGTTCAGTAGAACCTGGAGTTAAATAACATTAGCAGGTGAAAATAAGCGAGATATCATCACAACGTATATGGCATTTGAATCCCGAAATGCCGGCGTGAACGGCTGCTCTTAGCGCCCCCTTGGCTAAAATCGGTTACTACCATCACAATCTCCCCCCCCCTCCCG